AGGATTTGTGGAAGCTATAGATGGCACATCGATGTTGAAAAACATCAAACTCGGATACAGTAAAACAGATTGAAAACTCTTACTCCACCTATCAGACCCCCCTCCCCGGCCTTCAACACACACATCTGTGCACTGTGAAGTAGTTTAGGATATTTGGGGCCTAATAAAATATTTGAATCAGTTGGCTGGTCTCATTGAAATTTACAGTGGTTTCACCACTTGCTGTACGTTAAAACAAAATTGGACTACTCGCATAACACTCAAAAATTTTCAAATCCTCAAAAAATAAACGAGGGCATCCAACAACGATTTCTTTTTGATATATTGAACGATTGTAATCTAAATTCATTTTTTCTAAACAAAAATCTGCCAAGTAAGTGGTTTTCAGATCTTCATATTTTAAAATCAGAAATTAGGTCATGGTCATAAATCAGGTGGTCATTAAATTATGGTCATATCGCGGATACTTAAAATTTTAGAGCAGTCTTTTTTAGAAACCAGATGAGCACTGCTTGGAAGTACCATCACAGCACCACCCCATATGGGTTGAACTTGAAACATTTTTGAAAAATCTTTTGAAAAACTTATAAAAAAAGGTCTAATCTAGAAGACCGGAAGAAATTAAGCAGTCATAATTGGAGCCTACATCTGCAACTTCTTGGAGCACCTTGACATCAATCCGCCACAGGGTCGAGAATTTCAAAATTTGAGAAGCATTTTTTAACCTAAGTGTTTGAGTTTTAAAAAAAAGTATAAGAAACGTCATATCTCAGAAACTATAACAATTTGAGCAGTCATTCTCGGAGGCAAGATTTGCAACCTCTGTGATAATCCTGACAGCAACCCATCATAGGGTTGCTCATTTCAAATTTTGTGAATAAACACTGAAACGAAAAACTTTAAAAGTTTGCGTTGCGAATAAAGAAAAAACATTCACGCTCCAACAGATGTAAAAAAAAGTGTAGGATCTTAGAAATTTGCAATCAATAGTTCGTTTGGATAAAATTGCCTAATTCAATACTCGCCAGAAAATTCTAAAGCGTCTTAGACTGCAGCTAACATTTTAAACGTAGCAAATTTTTGGAATTTTAACATGTCAACACAAGGACTTCTTAAACATGTGTCATGTGGAACACCCGTTCAAAATGTATAGATGGATCAGTCAGAAAGGTGATTATCATTAGGCACATTAACCCAAAAACTTTTATGTTACTTTGATATTTATAGGGAGTGATTGCTAGTTCGGAGAAGCGTTTTATGGCAATTCTGCATGGCTACGAGGCATAGCTAGAATTGCACCTGAGCAGAAGTTAGTCTATAACTAGCAGCACTTACAAAGGTCAACACATTCGAAGCTACTTGCACCGCAACCTCGTGCACTTTTTGTAAATGATTTGATAGTTTGGGGATTGTTCCTAATCTTTCAGATCACTTTTACAATCCGGCTACGATGCTAGCCTATGCAACTACTTGATCGCCCCAAATCGATTGTCAGTACTTGAAAACGCATTTTGTGATTTTGCTTACTCATTCAGAAAAACATTAATCAATTTTCGAACAGTTTTACAACCAGGCAAACTTTGACCTTCAGAATTGAACTCAATATTTTGTAGCACAAATTCAACAATTTCTCGTTTAATGTTCAAAGACGGTTTCTGATTCAGTTCTAGGTCTACACATTTCTTCAAATCTTCACGATTCAGATATCTTGCTTCAAAAAGATGAACAGAGCCAGCTGACGACTGAAGATTTCTCCAAAGTGAGTCCCGCCCTTTTTCTGGCGCGTAGTTCGACGTGACAAAAATGATCGTTTTCCTCGAAAAGTAGTAACTGATTGATTTGGGCAAAAAGAACTGATAAGGCACTAAGACATCGGGGATCGAAGGTGCCGAAGTAATCATCATAGAGTCGTCTGGGAACATATTTGCTGCATCCATGTGGAAAATTTTGAGCCCCCATAAAGCGGGAGCGTCAAGTTAGAGAGATAATCCACTGAAAAAAATACCAAATATTCAATTCCATAAACTATTTTAAACCTTGGATTCATGAAACTCTCGCGGCATATTTTTAGCAAACATTTATCCTCTATGGGTTTTTGCAGAAAAACATTAAATTTAATTTCCCTAATTCAATATTGGTTCTTTACAAAGAGGCTGGTATTTAAAAATAACAAAAACACAAAAGCGAAAAATGAAAAGATTTGGAATCGCCCTTGATAAATATCCCAATAAGAGCGAACTATGACAGGTGTACGATTTTAAACTTAACTAATTTGGTTCGAAAATTTTTTTAGAGGGCCCAGATAATTTTTCAGATCTTCTCACTTACTTGTGCTGACGCACTGAGGAGGAACTTCAATTGCTTTCAAAACAGTCTGGACAGTTAGTGTTTTTCCAACACCTGTGGGCCCATAGATAAACACCGTTGTAATATTCGACTCCATGTCTTGGAGCAACTTCTTGGAGCACCTTGACATCAATCCGCCACAGGGTCGAGAATTTCAAAATTTGAGAAGCATTTTTTAACCTAAGTGTTTGAGTTTTAAAAAAAAGTATAAGAAACGTCATATCTCAGAAACTATAACGATTTGAGCAGTCATTCTCGGAGGCAAGATTTGCAACCTCTGTGATAATCCTGACAGCAACCCATCATAGGGTTGCTCATTTCAAATTTTGTGAATAAACACTGAAACGAAAAACTTTAAAAGTTTGCGTTGCGAATAAAGAAAAAACATTCACGCTCCAACAGATGTAAAAAAAAGTGTAGGATCTTAGAAATTTGCAATCAATAGTTCGTTTGGATAAAATTGCCTAATTCAATACTCGCCAGAAAATTCTAAAGCGTCTTAGACTGCAGCTAACATTTTAAACGTAGCAAATTTTTGGAATTTTAACATGTCAACACAAGGACTTCTTAAACATGTGTCATGTGGAACACCCGTTCAAAATGTATAGATGGATCAGTCAGAAAGGTGATTATCATTAGGCACATTAACCCAAAAACTTTTATGTTACTTTGATATTTATAGGGAGTGATTGCTAGTTCGGAGAAGCGTTTTATGGCAATTCTGCATGGCTACGAGGCATAGCTAGAATTGCACCTGAGCAGAAGTTAGTCTATAACTAGCAGCACTTACAAAGGTCAACACATTCGAAGCTACTTGCACCGCAACCTCGTGCACTTTTTGTAAATGATTTGATAGTTTGGGGATTGTTCCTAATCTTTCAGATCACTTTTACAATCCGGCTACGATGCTAGCCTATGCAACTACTTGATCGCCCCAAATCGATTGTCAGTACTTGAAAACGCATTTTGTGATTTTGCTTACTCATTCAGAAAAACATTAATCAATTTTCGAACAGTTTTACAACCAGGCAAACTTTGACCTTCAGAATTGAACTCAATATTTTGTAGCACAAATTCAACAATTTCTCGTTTAATGTTCAAAGACGGTTTCTGATTCAGTTCTAGGTCTACACATTTCTTCAAATCTTCACGATTCAGATATCTTGCTTCAAAAAGATGAACAGAGCCAGCTGACGACTGAAGATTTCTCCAAAGTGAGTCCCTTTAATTTCCCTAATTCAATATTGGTTCTTTACAAAGAGGCTGGTATTTAAAAATAACAAAAACACAAAAGCGAAAAATGAAAAGATTTGGAATCGCCCTTGATAAATATCCCAATAAGAGCGAACTATGACAGGTGTACGATTTTAAACTTAACTAATTTGGTTCGAAAATTTTTTTAGAGGGCCCAGATAATTTTTCAGATCTTCTCACTTACTTGTGCTGACGCACTGAGGAGGAACTTCAATTGCTTTCAAAACAGTCTGGACAGTTAGTGTTTTTCCAACACCTGTGGGCCCATAGATAAACACCGTTGTAATATTCGACTCCATGTCTTCCAAAAAATCCGCCAATGCAGTCACGATATTCCCAATTAATTCACTTTGTCCAATAACAATGGATTCAATTTTTGTCTTTGTTTCACCTGCGCGTAACTTACTCAATATCTCGCTTTGATTGAAAGTGCATTTTGGACTAGGTACTGGAGATATGTATAAATGCCTTACATCGTAACATGTCCTTTCTGCGGGTGTGATAAAAGGACCTAACGTAAAACTATAATTCAGGATTATTCGACAACCATAGAAAATTTCATTTTTTTTTCAAATTGTTTTGCAGAAAAATTATTGAATTCTTTGAATTTTTGGTGCCCAACATGGCCCTAAAAACTCCAAAACTAAATTTACTTGCTTTAAACTAAATTTTTAAGGCTTAGATTAAGCATAGAGCTTGAAAAATCAAAAATGATTGAAATTTTTTAAATGTCGCTCGAATCACGAGTGAAAAAGCTTTGGTATATCACTCAACCCATTTAGATGAATATTTGTGGTACCTACATATGCGTGGAAAACAAAAAAAGTGAAACACACCCGATGTCAACTTAAACTTATTCAAAACTTAAATTTTTATGTCAGCTTAAAGTTATTTGAGAACAAAAATTTTGCTTTATATAAAACGAAAATTACCCTAATGGTTCTAACGACAATTTTGCTCATTTAAAATAAACGTTTTAGTTTCATTATTTTGACTTCACCAACAAACTATGGCGCAGGATATGGCGCCTGTCCGAACAATCGAGAACCAAAATCAGTGGTGCTGAGAACCGAAATCAGGAGTGTGTCTAGTAGGAACACGGAACATTACAAAAACTCAAGAAGTTGCGTTTTCAGGTCGGTCGAGTTTCCTAGCGCATCAAAACATCGAACTTAATTTTCCTAGTAAAAACTGAACTTCACGGGAAGTTTTTTTTACAAAAAAAAATGAAAAACGTCACTATTGAAATACTCATCAAGAAACAAATTGGTATCAAAGGCACCTTTTGACGAAATGACGACCCGATTGGCCCAAAACTGAGCTGTCGTAAAAATATTTTACAAAGACGGAACCCTCGAAGGCCGAGGGTGTAGAATTGCAGTGAGGAATCTGCTTTAACATTATTTTGTTTTAAGACTATTCGACCAGTTGAACACAATCATCGTCTCTACTTTGGCCACATTGCCATCCCTATCGGCAAACTGCAGTTCTCTCAGCTGAACCAGAGAAAAAGAGCCTCCGGACACTAAGTATTGAGGACGACTGACGAAGTTTTTGTTGAAATACTCATAAGCAGCCGGTAGATCTTGTATGAGCTCAATCAACTGTTCCATGCTCAAAGGAAACGACAACATGGAGTAGTAGTACCTGGATAATATCAAATTAAGCTAAATCCCCCCTAGACCATTTTAATATCGTATTAACCTTTTTCTCATTTGGATTTAAAATGCTAAGCGCTGCATATTAAGTACTCAATTGTGCTGTGTTCCTCTTAAGCGCAATTTTTGAGATGACATTCCGGGTTGACAAAAATGCCTATTATACAATTTTATACAATGAAAAATGGACTGGAAAAATTGCATGAAAAGAGCAAAATAAGAATTTTTTTCCAAACTATGAAATTTTTTAATAAGCCTTTTCTTGCAAATTTTATGAAAAGCTTCATGAAAAAAGCAAAAGCAGTTTTTTATACAATGAAGTGGTATGATAAGCATTTTTTCATAAATAAAAATACAAAAATACGAAAACCCAGAGTGAACTGGCAGTAACCACGCAGATACTCTGCGTTTGAGATATTAGCCATGAAAATTAATAATATTAACAGTTTCACACAGAATTATATAACAAAACCAGGGGCGGATTTAGGGGGGGCGGGGGGGACGCCCCCTTTCCTCAGGGATTCGACCCCCTGCCGACCCAAAGGGTCCCCCCTTTGATACTTTTTCAGAAATCCATTTTTGGCCGACCCCCCCCCCTAAATTTTTTCTAAAGGCGCCTTTGGCGCCAATATATACTAACTTTGAAGGGGAGCGCGCGCCGAAAAAAAAACGCGATTTTTTTGTCAAAATTTTTCAAAAAGTGCCCAAAAACGGCTTTTTCGACTGTTTTTTCAAAAATTTGCCTGCGGCACAGAAAATTTTGCCAAAATAGGGGCAAAACAGTGCTTTGGGAGAGCTCGAAAAATCAATTTGGTCGACCTAAAAAAAAAAAATCCGCCCCCCCCCCCCTCGAGAAAATCATAGATCCGCCCCTGAACAAAACCGTAACTTTTAGTAAATGGCTAGAAAACTTTTACTTTGAAAACTTTCAGTGGCTGCTGAGAAAATAGGTGTTTTTCCAACACATTTTTTCATCTTATCATATGAAAACAAAAAAATATTACAACTAGCCGACTACTACTGAGTATACATTTAAATATTTAGGAATTAGTCTTGGCTAAAAAATATACAAATTTCAAAACAAAAACTTGAAGAAAATATCTGAGAAAATTGACTGTTTCCAATTTTACCTCATGATTGCATGATTGACTTATCTGATATTAGTTGAAAAAAATTTAAATACCTAACTTTCAATCTGCTCCATTGAATTTATCTGCTTTCAGCTCAAATACTGAATGGAAATTTGACGTTTTTCTGAATACAAAAATCTAAAACCAATCAATTTTACCTGTCTGAGGTCAAGCAATTCAGAAGAATATTTTCTCCGTCTTTAAAATTCGAAGGAGCCTCCAAAATAGTAATACTCGAGTTCAAGTTAACGTTTTTATTGTCTATGACCATTGGGTAGTCGATTGGTACTTCGACCAGAGAGCACCTTTTTGTTACACCAGGTAGCTCTGAGAATTTTCTGCTACAGTTGCAAGAGCTGAGAAATGATTTTGCTTGGTACCGGGAGAAGGCAACGTCAAATGCAGATATAATGATCAAACTGCTTCTATGTATTCCGCCGGTTTTTACAAATTCAGTCACCGAATATTCCCGAGTTACATCATCAATAACAGTCCGAATTTCTTCGAACACGACTGCAGATAAAAGAAGGGCAACAAGCGCCACAAAAACGAAACCCAAAACTTTTTTATTTTTTCTCATTTTGAGAGTCAACCAGTATTTTTATAATGACTCGAGAGACAAAAAATTCATCAATTTTTATAAGCAATTCAAGCTGTCACAGCACATAAAACAATTAATATATGTAAAAATTGCTGCCACATCATTTAATTGATTAATTAGTATTTACAATGTTTTGGCGCCAACTGGTTCCGTGGTTTAGTGCCATCTAAAGGATTCGGAAGTTTTCATTAAAAACTGTTACGCTTGCTGATTCCAAAAACTCATGACAGGTTTTTAGGTTCAAATTTCTTTCCCATAGTTTCTTAGTTTTTCTATAGCAGCATATTTGAAAGTAATGCAAGCCAATAAATAAGCTGCTTAGGATTTGTGGAAGCTATAGATGGCACATCGATGTTGAAAAACATCAAACTCGGATACAGTAAAACAGATTGAAAACTCTTACTCCACCTATCAGCCCCCCCTCCCGGCCTTCAACACACACATCTGTGCACTGTGAAGTAATTTAAGATATTTGGGGCCTAATAAAATGTTTGAATCAGTTGGCTGGTCTCATTGAAATTTACAGTGGTTTCACCACTTGCTGTACGTTAAAACAAAATTGGACTACTCGCATAACACTCAAAAATTTTCAAATCCTCAAAAAATAAACGAGGGCATCCAACAACGATTTCTTTTTGATATAATGAACGATTGTAATCTAAATTCATTTTTTTAAACAAAAATCTCCCAAGTAAGTGGTTTTCAGATCTTCATATTTTAAAATCAGAAATTAGGTCATGGTCATAAATCACGTGGTCATTAAATTATGGTCATATCGCGGATACTTAAAATTTTAGAGCAGTCTTTTTTAGAAACCAGATGAGCACTGCTTGGAAGTACCATCACAGCACCACCCCATATGGGTTGAACTTGAAATATTTTTGAAAAATCTTTTGAAAAACTTATAAAAAAAAGGTCTAATCTAGAAGACCGGAAGAAATTAAGCAGTCATAATTGGAGCCTACATCTGCAACTTCTTGGAGCACCTTGACATCAATCCGCCACAGGGTCGAGAATTTCAAAATTTGAGAAGCATTTTTTAACCTAAGTGTTTGAGTTTTTAAAAAAAGTATAAGAAACGTCATATCTCAGAAACTATAACGATTTGAGCAGTCATTCTCGGAGGCAAGATTTGCAACCTCTGTGATAATCCTGACAGCAACCCATCATAGGGTTGCTCATTTCAAATTTTGTGAATAAACACTGAAACGAAAAACTTTAAAAGTTTGCGTTGCGAATAAAGAAAAAACATTCACGCTCCAACAGATGTAAAAAAAAGTGTATGATCTTAGAAATTTGCAATCAATAGTTCGTTTGGATAAAATTGCCTAATTCAATACTCGCCAGAAAATTCTAAAGCGTCTTAGACTGCAGCTAACATTTTAAACGTAGCAAAATTTTGGAATTTTAACATGTCAACACAAGGACTTCTTAAACATGTGTCATGTGGAACACCCGTTCAAAATGTATAGATGGATCAGTCAGAAAGGTGATTATCATTAGGCACATTAACCCAAAAACTTTTATGTTACTTTGATATTTATAGGGAGTGATTGCTAGTTCGGAGAAGCGTTTTATGGCAATTCTGAATGGCTACGAGGCATAGCTAGAATTGCACCTGAGCAGAAGTTAGTCTATAACTAGCAGCACTTACAAAGGGCAACACATTCGAAGCTACTTGCACCGCAACCTCGTGCACTTTTTGTAAATGATTTGATAGTTTGGGGATTGTACCTAATCTTTCAGATAACTTTTACAATCCGGCTACGATGCTAGCCTATGCAACTACTTGATCGCCCCAAATCGATTGTCAGTACTTGAAAACGCATTTTGTGATTTTGCTTACTCATTCAGAAAAACATTAATCAATTTTCGAACAGTTTTACAACCAGGCAAACTTTGACCTTCAGAATTGAACTCAATATTTTGTAGCACAAATTCAACAATTTCTCGTTTAATGTTCAAAGACGGTTTCTGATTCAGTTCTAGGTCTACACATTTCTTCACATCTTCACGATTCAGATATCTTGCTTCAAAAAGATGAACAGAGCCAGCTGACGACTGAAGATTTCTCCAAAGTGAGTCCCGCCCTTTTTCTGGCGCGTAGTTCGACGTGACAAAAATGATCGTTTTCCTCGAAAAGTAGTAACTGATTGATTTGGGCAAAAAGAACTGATAAGGCACTAAGACATCGGGGATCGAAGGTGCCGAAGTAATCATCATAGAGTCGTCTGGGAACATATTTGCTGCATCCATGTGGAAAATTTTGAGCCCATAAAGCGGGAGCGTCAAGTTAGAGAGATAATCCACTGAAAAAAATACCAAATATTCAATTCCATAAACTATTTTAAACCTTGGATTCATGAAACTCTCGCGGCATATTTTTAGCAAACATTTATCCTCTATGCGTTTTTGCAGAAAAACATTAAATTTAATTTCCCTAATTCAATATCGGTTCTTTACAAAGAGGCTGGTATTTAAAAATAACAAAAACACAAAAGCGAAAAATGAAAAGAATTGGAATCGCCCTTGATAAATATCCCAATAAGAGCGAGCTATGACAGGTGTACGATTTTAAACTAAACTAATTTGGTTCGAAATTTTTTTTAGAGGGCCCAGATAATTTTTCAGATCTTCTCACTTACTTGTGCTGACGCACTGAGGAGGAACTTCAATTGCTTTCAAAACAGTCTGGACAGTTAGTGTTTTTCCAACACCCGTGGGCCCATAGATAAACACCGTTGTAATATTCGACTCCATATCTTCCAAAAAATCCGCCAATGCAGTCACGATATTCCCAATTAATTCACTTTGTCCAATAACAATGGATTCAATTTTTGTCTTTGTTTCACCTGCGCGTAACTTACTCAATATCTCGCTTTGATTGAAAGTGCATTTTGGACTAGGTACTGGAGATATGTATAAATGGGTAACAGAACCCGCAAGCATAAAAGAAGTTATCAAAAATAAACTGAAGTTCAAAACACTTTTCACTAAACAGCAACAACTTTTCTTCTTTGCCGGTTTGTGATTAAATTTATTTTGGTCCTGTTTGGTTTTCATATTTTCGTTGCATTTGAATCGGCTCTTTTTAAGAAAAGTGTTTTGAACACTCTTTCTTCCATCATCATCATCATCATCATCAGATTGGCAGTCTCTTTTGGCGACATGATTTGGACTACCGTTTGAGGACAGATCGTGAACAAAATCTTCGGCGCTTTCGTCAATTGACTCTGTATTAGTTTCTGTTTCTTTTGTTTTGTCTTTCACATTCTTCAAATCATCTGGGCACGAGTAAGCAGAGAATGATTGACTTCTAACTAGTTCCACACCTTTCATACTGTCCATAAATGAAGAATTAGTGGCATGTCGCAAACGGGAATTCGGTCTGTAGTTGTAAGGCACAATGATCATATCATTTGCTGGCAACGAGGAAGTTCTTTTGGGAAAACTTTTCGGGTTTATTTCCCGGTGCTGGTACTCTTTGAACGCCATATTTTGCTTTAATTCAAAATTCACTCAATAAAATCAGCAATCAGCTTTGTTCATCCATAGGTCGCTTTTAAAACAAATTTTTCGTCTAGGCTAGGTCACTTTACAATCAAAACTGCAATATCTGGAAAGCAATCATCTAAGGTAGAAAAAAGCAAGTAAAAATTTCAGATAAAAACAAAAACAAGCTTTGACACAGAGGCGCAGCTTCGCTTCGCAAACACAAGCGAGAACAAAAAGCAGCTGCTCTTTTCCACCCACCCTTTCTTTGAAAAACTACTTTAACATTGTCATAATGCAATGAAATTTAGCATAGTGAACAAACTAACTATTATGAACACATTTGTTCATCATGCCTTACATCGTAACATCACTCATTCAGCCTTAACAACACGTAACATAAGTAAGAAAATGAGAATTTGAATTAGGGGTGAAAGTGGAGAAGAGCCAAAGCAGCTCTATAAAGTGCAATATAAAAATTAGAAATAAACCTCAAATTAGTTTTTTAAAAAAAACAGGCTTTGCCTGAGATTCAATCCTACAGCTTAAGAGTCTCATACGCTAAGCATTCAGCCACGGACGCTTAATAGGCACTAAACACCAGCCACAACTAAAGCGGAGAACAGATGCTATGGGCTGCGAATGATATTCAAACCTGCCACCTACAGATTAAGAGTCTCACTCACTAACCACTCAGCCACGGACGCTTACAAGGCACTAAACATAAACCACAATAAGCCAAAAACAGGTGCTATGCAATTTTCAAAGCTTCATTGAAATTTACAAGATAATTGAACACTTTTAATGTATTTGCGAGTTAATTTAGAAAAAAAGAAGGTTCGTAATAACACACTAAGCTGATCGCAAGCGTAAAAAGATTAAAATCTTGATACACCGGGCGATCGATACCACAATCCTTCCACAAAAAATACTAACGAAACGCAGGCAGCAATGAGTGCGCTTGTTTTGAACGGATGTCGCCCACACTATTAGAAATCATCTGGGTGTATAACAATCCAAATGACATACAAGACTGAAACCGAAAATAAAATATAACACTCAAAAGTAGCACAGAATGATCCGACCTGTCTTTGAAAAACTACAAAACTTTTTTTTATTAGCGTTTTTTTTCTGCGGGTGTGATAAAAGGACCTAACGTAAAACTATAATTCAGGAATATTCGACAACCATAGAAAATTTCATTTTTTTTTTTCAAATTGTTTTGCAGAAAAATTATTGAATTCTTTGAATTTTTGGTTAAACTCCAAAAACTAAATTTACTTGCTTTAAACTAAATTTTTAAGGCTTAAATTAAGCATAGAGCTTGAAAAATCAAAAATGATTGAAATTTTTTAAATGTCGCTCGAATCACGAGTGAAAAAGCTTTGGTATATCACTCAACCCATTTAGATGAATATTTGTGGTACCTACATATGCGTGGAAAACAAAAAAAGTGAAACACACCCGATGTCAACTTAAACTTATTCAAAACTTAAATTTTTATGTCAGCTTAAAGTTATTTGAGAACAAAAATTTTGCTTTATATAAAACGAAAATTACCCTAATGGTTCTAACGACAATTTTGCTCATTTAAAATAAACGTTTTAGTTTCATTATTTTGACTTCACCAACAAACTATGGCGCAGGATCAAACTTGTTCAAAACAAATATAGATTTCGTAGATAAGCTGGTGATACCTCAAGGAAGCTCAACAATTAAGTAAGAAAAACACTATGTTCTACAATCACAAATTTTACCCCACTTCTAAATATCGGATCAATGAAACTAACTTTTTCGGTTTGACATTAAGCCAAACTTTCGTTTTGAATTAACTTTTAGCTTTAAAAAAGGCGTGTTGTTGGTATTGTATTGCTGCCTCATTGGTGGTGATTTAAATCCCAAAATGAATATTATGAAATTAATTGTCGAGAACGTGGTAAAAAGAATATATCAATTTTTTCAAAAAAATTTGACCATAGAACTCCAAGAAAAGAACTTTTTTTATTTTAAACCTTGATGGCTCATTAGTGCATATCGTCATAACTGGCAAAACAATCATTTCACCAACAAAAATTGATTTCGATCGTAATTTTTTCTAAAAAAAAATTTCGGAATATTGGCTAGCCAGATTCACATTCAGTCTAATGGGGAAATTGCTATTTGAGAAATCTTCAAAGATATCTCATTTTTTAAAATTTTGACCATAGGATTAGGATTTCCATGAAGGAACTTTTTTGATTTTAATTTTAATGGCTCACTAGAACATAATTTAAAAGCATGTCATGTCATAGCTGGCAAAACAATCATTTCACAAAAAAAATTGATTTCGACCGCTAATTTAAAAAACCTCCGGAACATTTGCTAACTAGATTCACATTCAGTCTAACGGGGAAATTGTCTTTTTAAGAAATCTTTTCCAGAAAAGAAACGTTTTGATTTTAAACCTTAATAGCTCACTAGAACATCTTTAAAAAATGGCAAAACAATCATTTCATTGCCAAAAAGGAATAACTGGAATTGGTCAGAAACGATTAAACTAAAAATTAAATCAGACAACTAAAACAACGACGACTATATTTGTCTAAAAGCGGTTGTCTAACTCAGAATTCTTGGCGAATTGCCGCCCAAAAAAATTCCATGAACAATCTTGGAACAGTTTTCAGCATTCAAATTGGTCTTCAGAAAAATATACTGGTACACCGTGTTTTCTTGCAAGTTTTGAATTCTAATTTTCTAACCAGATTTATGGATCAAAATTAGATTCACAGGCAAAGCTGAGCTTTGAACCACTTGCAGTACACCAAAAAAATCCTGGGAATCTAGCCGACGGACGATGAGACGAAAGCCACCAATTCGGAAAGTAGTTTGCAAAAATGCTGAAAAAATAAATAACTTTCATACAATGAACTCGATTTGTCTCAGATGAAGATAAATTTTGAGTAAAACATTTCACGAAATACAACTGCCACCTAGAATTAGCATTATAACGGAAAACACGAAGCCGCTTATACTTTGGTAGACAACCGTTCAGCCGAAAAAAAACCGCCATGAAAATTAAAGCGTTAAACATCTGGAAAATCAAAAATTTTTAGTGCCCCTTGTTTTTGAACCAATTTTAGTTTTTTTGAACCAATTTGTAATTGAAATGTCACAAAACCGGAGTTATTAAGTTGACAACTAGATTTCAATTAGATAAAACGCAAAATGCTCAAGATATGCATGTTGCTTACCAAAAAAAAAGAATTGACGGAGTAGCTGACGACGTGATGCAATGATTTTGTTTAACAAACAGTTAACACAAAAAAACTATTTCGACTTGATAACGTCTGCTAATCGCAAGCGGTAAAATGTTTAAGACTGCATCAAAGCGTTTGTGCAGGCGAATTAATAAACAGGTGGCTTTTTATTCGCTTAAAACTTTCAGCTGTAGGTGATTTTTTTTTGGCTTTATATGAACTTGTTTAGTCATAAAAACTCACTTTTGTATAATTGAATAAAATTTGCACACGGAAACGCAGAACAGCCGACTGACACTTGGAAAAGAGAAAGGAACGCAAAGAAACAGAAAGAAAAACTTACTTGTTTTTTTGAAAAATCTCAGCCTTCGAAATTTCGAAGAAAAAATAGATGGCCTTCAACCCCTTTCAATCTCTGGATCAGTTTATAATTTACAACTTTTTCATGAAATTAGCCCAATTTGAGAAAACTGAAAAATACGTAATGATTGTATTTCGAATGTGATAACTAAATTCCATTTTCGAAACTAAAAGTTGATCCCGTTTTTCGTGACCTTTGCATTTTGCTCTATTGAAAAATTTGCCTTCCTTTGAACAATGAAAAAGCACTGAAATTAAAAAGAAAGAACAAGTCAAACCGCGAAATATCAAAATTAAGCGTGAACAAACTTTCAGACTTTTTCTGAAAAAAAATCACCAAGACCAAAATAAGAGTCTTCACTCTTTAGTGTTTACTCTTAAAAAACTAGAATAACCGTCGTGACGTTTTCCCTTACTTCATCGTTAACATGAAATCCAGAAAATGCGGCAAGAAAATTAGTTTTTATATTTGATATTTGGTTTCACACAGATCCAAAACAAGACACTTGCTCTCTTAAATCTAGCAAGAAAAAGTAGGAAAACAAATCCGGAAATCTTGTATTTGCTGAGAATACAATGAAAAACGATGTCGTGGAAAGGCGTCCATGTTAGAAATAACACCCGAACACAATGAAAATTAAGGTACAAAGTATGACAAAAAGCAAGAAAAATAAATGGCTTATATTCGTCCAGAACTGTGATTACCGCATTGGTGCCAGAAAGTTCTGGAAATAGGTACGCTCCTTAAACGGATCCAGGCCTGAGGTAGGGAGGCACCCTATTAATTTTGGCTCTTAAGGTATAACCTTCGATACTGACATAGCAAAAGCATTCAATGTGCATTTTACCAATGCTAGAATCCATACCTCCGACAAGTTTTCAGGAAAACAAAACGCAAAAACGCAAAACTTTCTCTTTCTGATAACCCAACTTTCTCTCCCCAACAAACTAAACAAGCCATTGCGCATAGAAAAATCTCACGAGCACTCGGTTCGGATGGCCTTTGCAATGAACACCTCACAAACCCTTCGGACCGCTTGAACTTGATTACTTGACTCATTTATTTAACTTCTCGCTGTCTGAAAATATTATCCCCAAAATGTGGAAAAATTTCAAGTTAATCTCTCTGCCCAAACCTGAAAAGGACTATAAAATTTCTACTTCATACAAGCCTGTTTCAATATTGCGGCCGCTGTCAAAACTTTGAAGAGGTTAATCCACCGTTTTTTAATAAAGCACCTTCCAAATGCTACACCAACACGGTTTCCGCCCTTTCCACTCCACCACAACCACCCTCCTTCGCGTACTGTCGTCACCACAATTGATCTTTCGAAGGCATTTGATATGGTATGTCATAGAACACTAGTGGAACGCATTCATGACACTCCGCTGCCAAGAGGCATAGTTCGCTGGCTGAGCAATTATTGATGTGACCGACAAGCCACCACCATTTTCAACAACCAAGAACCCCCCCCCCATAAAATTGTTCACTGTGGAATTCCCCAGGGCTCAGTATTATCACCGACTCTTTTTAATTTGAACATCCATGACGCGCCTCCGCCCGCCGAAAAAGTTAGTCTCACCTCATACGCCGATGACTTTCACCCTTTCGCCCGAGGCAGCATCACGCTCACTTAAAGGTTATCTGCGCCACCTTTTTTTCCACCTCCCGTAAGCTAGCATTCGCGTCCTCTAAAGGATCAGTTACCTTACTTTCGTCTTGCAAAAATTTAAGCAAAACGCCGCCAGCAAAACTTCCAGTAATCACCTGCAGGTCACTCAAAACCAAGCCTCTGGGTGATCACTGGCTCAACTCTTATGAGCTCCACTGCCCACCTTCACTGTGAAGTCGAGATCCTGAACGTTAATAACCACCACTCTCTTTTAACTTCTCAGTTTTTAATTTCAACATATCGTTTGCATCATTCAAATCATTTCTATCACTCTTACCCCAAACCAACTCGTCAAATTCGACAACTCATCTTAAGAGCTTTTAAAGACGACACAGACTCGTAACAGACCAAAACCTGTCACTAAATCCTAACGACTCAGAGTAAGTTTTGAACCACTACAAGCCCCTTTTAAAACAAAACCATAAAAAGTTGGGTAACCAAGTTCCCATCAGAAACCCCTCCCTCAAAAGTAATTTGTACTCCACCTTCGAGCATCGACCCCTCAGAACAGTCCCTTCTAAGAACCACTCGCTGTAAGCTCTCCCAACTTCGGTCGGGTTATAGTCGACTTTTAAACACCTACATCGCCCGCTTAGACAACCAAATTCCCCACTTTTCCCTTACTGTTTATTGTCACCCCACAATAGTTGCCACATTTTCAACTGTCCCAGAAATCCCTCCCCTGTTACTCCCGCAGACCTGTATTCAAGGCCGGTTGAAGTAGCGAAGTTCCTTAGCCTGGAGACGGCTGAGCTGCACCCGCCCAACATGGGCTAAAGAAAGAAAGAAACATTGAAGGTAATATTTTCGTGTTTTGTCTGCTTTAAGCCGACATTTGAAATCGTTCAACACTATTTCTCTTTCGAAAAATCCTCAGCTCCTTTACCTTAACAACTGAACACATTTTATCATAATGCCAGGTTGCTGCTCACATACTCGAAGTTTAACAAAAATAATATAACAAGTAAATTCGCAAAAAAAACAATTGGGTCACCGGTATCAAAAACAAACTGTAGTTTAATCTCTAGTATTTGTTGTTTTCGAGATAAGTAGTCATAACAGATCGCGTCAAGTTCAGACAGATCAACTCTATGCCTTCAACGTTCTTTTTCATAGTAACCAAACCATGGTCAATAAATTCCCGCAACTGGGCCCTCAAAGACAGATCACTGTTGACTAAAAAGTTCTCTCGGCAATGTAGATAACACTGCTGGAACAACATTCCGTCGCATTTCGAATCGGCACTTTTCAGATAAAAATTGATAATCACTTCGAGAATCTTTTTGGCATTTGGTGTCAAACTTTGAGCTACACTCGCCAGCGACGACAACGCGAGAGCTCCACTTGAATTATGCAACAGACTGTTTTCAAAACTAGTTTCAATCGTGTAATTTTCGTAAGTAGTACAGTCAAACTTCAACCAGTTCATTTCGCATTTAGCCTCGTTGTCCCAAAGTAGTTCGGCATTTATGTGATCTATGCTCACAAGGAAATGAACCCGTCGCATCTTGACCAGACTAGCGATTAGCTGTGATAACTTATTTACCTTCACTAGCGCAATATCAATACTGGGAATAACAATAAAAAGATCAAGGTCCTTTTTCACAAAATGATCCGAAAACGCTGCGCAGAATTTGTCCATGTTATTCGGCGTGAACGTATTTGAGAAGCCAACGTTTTCCGAAATGGAATTCATAACATGTTTAAGGTTCAGGCCTGGATAGTAGCCTTTAACAACGACGTGATTGAAATTCATCAGATAATGTTGTCGAAAACTTTCGATAAGAGATATTTTTGAGCCGTAGCCGTGCATTAAAATATTATAACCGAAATACATCAACCGCAGCCATTTTATGAAGTATCTCTTTTCATATTTTTCACGCAGTTGCTGTATATGATCTTCATGACTATCCTTCAAATTCTTCAATATTTGAGCGTATTTCTGGGAATCAATGAGCGGTAGTTTACTTGAGTCCAAACCACTGGACGGAACTCCGGTATTCACCGCCGATTGCGCAGAGCTCGACTCAAAAAAATGCTGCGATTGCGCGGCGAACTCTTTCTCCAAAGTTAGTTTACTAGTTTTTCCTTGCTTGCGAAACCCGAAATTCGCAGAAAGTCCCTTGTTCTCGTCATGCACTTCTAGGGCGCTCTCAAAAGTATTAGAAGTCATTTAATCTGAATCAATTTAAGATGAAACATAAATTGTTTGGAAACTTAAGGAAACGCTCTTATTGCATCAAATTTAAGGAACAAAATAAACATGACCTGTCCTCTTAACTTAAAAACATTATCAAAAACATTATACAAAAAAAAACAATTAACTCGAAAATAAATAAGCATTGAACGAATAACAATTTCCCTCTAAAGGATTCGAATATGAAACCTTTGTAGGTAGAGATGTATGCCTTCACAACTGCGCTATTTCCACTTACTAAATAAATATATTAAGCGCAGAGGCGAAGCGGAGCTTCGCATCACTTGCGATACCACAAAAATAGCATTGCAAGCTAGCAGACAGATCGGGAAAGGAAGCAACGAAGTCCAAAGAAAACTGAAAATTTTTTGAAATAACCACATCTAAAAAACTTTAACATGTTGTCTGGAATGATGTTCAATTTGCAGAAAACACGTCCAGAAAAACAATTGACGGCGTTTAATAAAAATTCAAAAACTATTTTCGAGCAAAAAAATATTGTTGTCATGAAACAAATTTGAACTATAAATTCTATTCTGATATTTTTTGACGTTGTGCAATTAGGGGGAAAGCATACAAATCATGGTTCCCTCAAAAACCCAAAATTAGATTAGTAAGCCGATAAAATAAAAGCCCGAATCATTTAGGTCAAAAAATTGTTCAAGCAAAAACAATTCTAAAAAAAGGAAAAAATACGAAGTCAAGGTTAGTAGAATTAAAAATTGCAAGAGAGAGTAAATTAAAACATAAAAAGCAACTATAAAGAAAACAGCATTTAGCAAAAAAGGCTCGTTTTCCTTTTCCACCTAACATAAGCATCAATTTTATGGTGTAACGAGCGGTTTTACAAAGTTAGTCATGAAGATCAAATATGTTTGCCATGGCCTAATTAGTTTGCATGCCAATTTTCGTAACATTCGGATAATGTGAACAAAAATTCAATGGTAAGATTTTGCAGGTGGAGGGGGGAGACAAAGAGCCCGGAAAAACTACGATGTGGCATCTAAGCCGACAAAACATAAGCAGACAAATAGCCGACAAACTTTTGAAACGAAAAAAAACAGGTCCTCACAGATTCGAACCACGTACCTTTGCCGTCCCATGCTTATTCGTTACCTCCAGACTAAGAGTGTCGGAGACGCTAGGAAATTTGAGTTCATTATGATACCAAACGGTTCTGTTAAACAAGTTGTTAACCAGAAAAAAAAGCAAGCGTAATACAAATAAAAGATAAAAAACGCATGCTAGTAAATAATAAAACTAATGCTAACACAGCAGAATTTAATGAGCACTAAATTAAACATTTTCAAAAAAATGATTTCGTAGTTTACAAGTTTGTTCCAAATCTCGGCTAATAGGAGAATATCTCTTTTTATAAAGCAAAATAACATCAACTGATCTTCATTTTTTGTTAGCTTAATTTGATCTTTCAAATTCGCCCGCTTTTTTATTCCATTTCTTTCTTATGATCATTCTTTCTTTCTTATGATCATTCTTTCCGGTTGGTTATAAATTGCAGAGAACTACGCCAGGGTGATACCAAAATAAGATTCAAATGATTCGTCACAGTAGATTAAGCTGAGAACATTGATTCACGCACAGTATTCCTCTCGTACTGGATGTAAGCTCAGCGGAGCAAGCTTATTTTACTTGCCAATGCCTTGCTACGAATTGACGCCCTACCATGAAAAACACCAAAATATTGTCTGAGAAGATAAAAATATAACAGCAAACCAAGACCATCATTATCATCAACAACATCATCATCAGTTGTCTTATGCTATCCTCGTGTATTCGATCATTAACATCCTCTCCATTTGCTTATTGAAATTCTCGTGTATTCGACGGCCTTGTGTTCCTTGGGAAGTTATAACTTTTGCTAATTCTTCTGAGTTCTAATCTTTTCTCTGCAACAAGGTTTGAAGTCTTCCGATAGACCTGACGCTGCCACTTACTTTCGAATATTTCTTGAAACAACTTTCTACATAAAGCCTTAGGCAGCTATTCGTGCTAGCTGTTTTCGATATCTTCGTGAAACTATTTCGTGAAAAATCAAAAGTGAGGACGCGCCCATTTAGCAATTTAAAAAAAGCGACCACGGATATCGCAATTAATTCATAATCAGGGGCAACAAAGATAAGCTATTCAAGTTTAACAAAGATTCAACAAAGATAAGCTATTCAAAAATTAAAGTGTGAATGAACGTTTTCCATTAATATGACAACTCCTGTTTTTTTTCTCGTTAATTTTGCCAGCTTCTTAAAACAAAACTGACCATTGTTTCCAGACAAATTGCATTGAGCTGTTTTTTTTAAATTTTTCTTCTGTTGCGGACGGTTTTGTATAACTTATTGAATTGAATGACACTCACTAAATCAAAAAACCTTGAAAATTTTTACGTTACTCGATAGATACAAGAAGGGTATGAATATTTAGAGGCGAAGCTGTGCTTCGCAAACACTTACGAGAACACTACCAAAATGCAACTCTATCAAGTGACATAATAAAAAGGAAAAATAAACCTCGAGTTTGCAAAAACGCGAGGCTTAGGAAAAACTCGAATTAGCAATAATCTGCGACCTAGTAAATTTGAGTCTCACGCACTAAACATTCAGTCGCGGATGGTTAAAATCCCCAAAAACTAGCCACCAATAATGCAGCTACATATGCTAAAAACTTGCCAATTCGATGCAGCAAAAGTAGCATCAAATACAAAAAGAAACTATTTTGCATGTAAAAAACCGCAAATCTTAAAGCCACATTATTAATTATGCATTTCAAAAAATTGAGATATTTTGAGTTCAAAAGTTTCTGAAATCGAGATTTTATTATTGTTATGTCGTTTGAAACAAATAGCTTTCTTTGGTTCAATTGATGAATTGAAAATGCATCAACTGTAAACTTATAACTATTAGAACGTCAAAGCACATGATATCAATAAGCTGTAAAGGTGCAACTAAATATAAAAGGTGCAACAAAATATCTTATTGCGACTTAGGTTGGAAAACGAAAGAAAGTTCGTACTATAACACATTGCTTCGCAAGTGTAAAAAAAAAGAAATTTCGTACTATAACAAATTGCTTCGCAAGTCTAATTAATAAATGTCAACATTTCAATTGAATAAGATCAAAAACTGAGCTGATAGCGCTTGGCTTGTAACATACTAGAAAGAAAAATGTCAAAATGTCACTGAACTCAAGGAAACCGAAAAATGAATTGAAGGAAACCATCCTTCTTTTAACCTCATTATAATTTCGACGAATACAATATATCGCGTTAATTTTCTTGATATTCAGAAATATTTTATGATTGACTTTTTTTCATAAAGCTTACCTTATTAGAGAAAATTGGATCAAAAGCTAGTTTGTTTTTTTCCCGCAGGGAATTCTGCAAATTGAAATCTACTTTTACAGCGAAATTTGCCCTCCTTTCAGCAAATGAATTTCCATTGAACATTATAGGAATTCAAAAGTCAAACTGTTGTGAATCAAAATTGAGCATGAACGCCTTTCAAAACCTTTCATCACAAAAAACAAGACCTAAATAAGTGTCGTTCATTGACACTTAAACAGAGCGGTGAAAAATCTTAAGCAGAGCTCGGAAAAAGAATTTCACGGCTTGCCATCAGAAGTGAAGTTGCCCTTAGTCAAGTTTCAGAAATTAGCCTTTAGTTAAAAAAAAACTGTCCTTCTGAGTGCGCATCAACAGTTTGTGACTTTATAATCCGTCCTGTTTCCTCATAAATATCTGTAAATCATGGAAGATAAAAATTTTCTCAAATTAGCAAGAATTCAGTGTTGGTGACCAAAAATTACAGAATGATCCGACCGAGTAATCCTGCCCGAGTGGGTAAGAAACTCACTTCAATCCGGCGAGAGAGTTACCAGCGCGATCCGCCTCCTGCTTCAAGGTGGGAACGGCTACTATAAAATGGATAACACTTTAGCCCCTCCCACGCTCCCCTGGATGGCCCTGCAGTAGTCAAGCCATGAATAAAAAGTCCATTTGAGGACATAGCCAACATATAGTCGGAAAAGAGCCGATGAATGCAAGGAAACAGAGAACAAGCTTTCGAATTTAAAAATAAAAATTAGATGTCCTTAATCACTTTAAAATTCAAGAATAATTTATGATGAAAACTTTTTTGATAAAATTAACTCAATTTGAGAAAAAGGATCAATAGGTAAAATTTTTATTCCGCTAAGAAATCTGAAAATTAAAAAAAAATCAAATCAAACCGCGAAAAAATCATTTGATTGTTTTTTGTATGTGGAGTCACAGTAACGAACCTCCCACAAGAAGTTTTCAACCTACGATCAAAATAAATTTTAGTCATTTTCATTGTTTCTCTGCTTCTTTTTTCATGTATTTGAAAAAAAATTCTACGTATATTTTTTCAAATATTCAAGGTTCTTTTCCGGGTCTGAAAAAGCCAGTTTTCATAATCTGCAGTAAATCTTAACAAGGACTTGAAGTTGTAGGAAAAAAAACAGCCAAATTTAGGAAAAGTATCATTCTCGCTGAAAATGTTTCAAATGCCATGAAAAACATTTTTAAATCTCATAAATGAGAAGGAAAACATGCAGTTGGAAAAACTTACAACAGATAATGAAAACTGCCATTTTCAGACCCGGAATAAATTGGTAAGTCCTTCAAATCAAATAGTGATACCTTCAGAGACATAGCTCTGATCGTTTTCTAACGCTCGGTATCAAACATTCTGAAAACCTAAGTAGATGCAGTCCAAAGTAGTCTTTGAAAGCAGGTTCTTTTAGCGAGCAGAATCTGAAATTGCGTGTGATTTTGTTCACTAGTGTACTTGTCTTCACTTCATTCATTGGCACTTAGAAACGCTACTATTCAAGTAACGAGAAAATACAAAACAGCTTTTAACAATGACAGCTTTGACAATGTTAATAGAGCGAAGGCTGAGAAAAGGGTTTGTCAACTATATTTATTCAAATTAACACGTTAAATGAACTACAAGTCATATCATTTCAGGGTTTGGCCTGTTTCAATTGCGCCCGAATCAGTTCACAATCAATCAGTTTGTTCACTAGTTGCTCATTGGTTCCAAATTCTGCTCACTCGTTTGCTCAAAAGCAGTCAGTTATAGTTAATGACCACTTTTGAAAACTGTATATAACTGTATATACTGACCCTAAAAACCGAGAGTATATTCCAAGTTCAAAAGTAAGGCGGCTCAGGGGGCTTGATTATCTTCTAGAACTCTAACATTGGTACATTTTCCGAAAAATTTCACTGCGCAACAGTTCTAGCTAAATTGGCTCTTTTTAGCGCAATTGCAAAAAGCTGGACAACAATTTCTCGCAAGTGTAAAAAATTTTCAGAAGACGGCACCTTCGCGAAATTCAAAGATCTTCTTCAAAAACATTTATAATTACATGATCCATGCAAATGATTTCTTTGGCCAAGCCCATTCTTATAATGCGCAAATATTCAAACTATCCATTTTTTGTAATTTAGTTTGGTCGTTAACTACGATATGCTACATGTATTTATTGCTTGTTTCGACTACCACAGTTGTACACTTGACCTCGTGTTCTCCAATCATCCCGAGATGGCATCTACAATTTCCGCCACCTGTTCCTCGTTCAACACTCTCACGTGACTGCCCTGAGCGTCTTGCGTAGTGGTCACGTGCCACACCTCCACATTGCTCTTACTCAGTCGCTCCTCCATTACGTCCTTGAGGATGGTGAGACTCACTTTGGAGGCATCAAACAGACTCATCTGCTACAACGCAAACACAAAAATAGACAATTTTTGCAGTGATAAAAGCTGCATGATCTGAAGAATATTGGAAATTAGAAAATGGTACTAGGTAAACAAACAGAGCAGGATTAATATCAAAGCCAAGGAATTACTCCCAACGTCTGAATTGATAAAAAACAGCAGAAGCAAGGTTGCTCTAAAAGTTCCCCGAGGCAAAGCTGCACTTCGCAAACACAAGCGAGAAAAGGACAAAAAGTAGCTCTAAAAGGGTCAAAAAGTGAAGAGGAAATAAAAGGTAACTATTGTAAAAAATCTGCTATGAGTCAAATCCACGACCTAGAGATTCAAGTCACATGTCCTAGAATATGTGCCAAGGGCGCTTAACAATAGTTAAGCACTAGGAAAAACGCGAAAGCTAGAGGTACCTGTTTGTTAAATTTTTTTTAAAAAATGTACCGAAGCGAAAGCTAGAGCGTTTTTTATTTTAAATGTGTTATTAAATGATAAATTGGAAATTTACCAAGTCCATAGCTGATTCCTATCAGAAGTACGGTGAACATAGTCTTGCAGAGCAGATAAGATCTCCGATTGATTAATTTCTTCTTTTTTTTTCAGAATTGGCACGGTGGTTTTTGGGAAACTGAACAAAGCTCAAAAATGGATCAAAAGGTCAAATATTTCTTAAGTCCATAGCGGCTTCCTAGCCAAAAATAACACAAATCGCTCTTGGACGATACAACTTCACAGCTTGTCCTTTCGATTGAACCCTTAAGATCAGATTTGGCACCTTAGTTTTCAAGAAAATCAATTTTCCGAACGAAATAAATTTTGCTAAATCCAACATTAATTTTCTACTAACTTAAAGCGTAGTCGTATGAAGAAACAAAACGTGCATGCGCCTAAGTGTATTTTTGTTAGATTGACTCACCGAGTGGTACTGTTCCTCCAGTTGCTGCATGGCCCCCTCACTGGCACTTCCGATGGCCTTGGCACTGCAGTCTGTGTATGTGCCAGAGGGGTCCAGATGGAACATGCGAGCACGGCCGTCCTACACACAACACAAAAAAGAACTAGAAAAAAGTTCAAAAACAAATTTACAAATGAATATTTTGTTTTCAAATGTTTTTTTTTTCAAAGATTTTAAGCAATTTCATACTATCAACTATCATACTTATTTTCAACTATCATACTTTTACCCATTTCTGAAATGAGCTCATTTAAGGTCGTAAATTTTAGACCGGATAACAGAAAATAGTATTTTGACACGACACCTGGATGCCTGCGACGATGACAGCTACTCCGAAGGGCCTGCTCATTGAGTTCTTCTGATTGCCAGAGTCATCTCCGAACTGGAGGGCTAGATTGGAAAGAGACTTGGTCAGGGACTCTGGGGGAATAGGCTCCTCGTAGGAGAAAGAGTGGTTCGTCGCCTCCACCCGCCCTTTGTCCACCATCGTCATCGCATCCGCTATCAGACCACTTACCGCAACAGCTAACAATAGACGCAACAGCATGAAACAAAACTAGTAGTTTACTGCGCACATGTGGACATGACACTGTCTTTTCAGTAATTTACTCTACTTATCGCTTTTATACGAAAACCAATGAATATTGTTTGTTGCGGTACTGATACGTTTCAGAATATAATTTTTGATTACCATGTTAGCGCGTATAGATCTTATTTGAACAATTCAATGAATCAGCTGAGTCTTTTTTGTATTCCAAAAAACAAATAATTGACCGATAAAATTCGCGATAAGTTTTTTAACCGATCCGGTTTAAAAATTTTTTAATTTTACTTGTCTAAAATGCAGAAAAAATATTTGAGTTTGATTAATTAATTCACTCAAGTGAATTTCAAACTAAGCGGCTCGATGCCCTAAAGACTTGGAGGTGGGACTAAAACTAAAAGATGACTCATGATTACCGAGGTGTGACTCTATCTCATGTATCTTGCGGACACTGCTGGCGATGAGGAGAGGTGAAGTGATTCTCTTCTCGCTAACCAGCACACAGCCGTCCTCACAACACACGCCCAGTGCAGTACTGCCCAACTAAACGCCAAACAATAACATGGTTATCCGGGTTTTTCTTTTTTAAACTCTCAGGCAGCAAGAAAATCGATCAACTGTGGTTCACTTGAATCATAATTTATGCCCACATTTTGTTACCTTGATAGCTTCGATGGCGTACTCGACCTGGAACAATCTTCCCTCGGGAGAGAAAGTGTTCACACCCCTATCATACTCAGTCCTCGTCAGAAACATACTGTTCCTCCTACTCCTAGTTCTTCAACTACTGCAACGCGTTTTCACTTCAATCGATCGAATCAGTCTCTGAGTCGACGATATCAAACAACAGTGCAGTCAACACCTCACGAACTGAGAGAGCTTAAACAAGTGTGAAGAGACAACTGCAGTCCGAATCAACAAGCCACAAATCAAATCTAAAAAAAAAGATTTACTATTTTTTTAAATAAAAAACTAGAAAAATCACTTTTGTGGCCTAAACTGAACACAGACGCAAAAAAGCTATTCGCATGTACAAGCGAACAAACAACGAATCACCCAAAAAAAATCGAATAAAGATTTCCTTCAAAGAAAATCAAGCATATGATTTTAAGTTTTCAAGAAAAACACAAACTATCAATTGCTGTGTACCACAGTAATCTTTTCATCCACAAACAGGGTGATAGATTACAAAAAGTGGCAGGTACATTTCAAATGAGCAAACTATCGTTCCCACGGGGATTTAAACCCGGTCCTCTACATCATTAGCCAGATGTTTTAGCCTGTGTTTCAAATCGATAGCAATCAATACAGAGAAGAGTGTCCCCTGACCCTCGATTGTTATATAACTTTTTGTTCAAGTGGTCCAATTGCCTTTAGAATTGACATGTAAAAAAATTACACAATTACAATGCATTCATAAAGAGCCTCGTAAAACCAAGGATAACATCACTTATGTTTGTATCTGGCGGGGCAAAACGGCAGAAGAGCCGGAAAGTCAAATTAGACAATTGTTCCAGACGTAGCCCCATATTGAAAACATGTTGTCTCAAAAGCTAAGTTTTCTTGATTACTCGGAAGTATAAACAATTTCTAATTGCAAAAATATAATCAAGGCTTTAGGAAAAATTTGTACTTTTCTGTAAAGCCACCAACTAGAAATGAGAATAATTGTAAGTGTTTAAAGATATTAAAATCAATTTATTATTCAGATCCAGTCAACTGTTAGTGTTTTCTATCAATTTTTACCAGGATCAGTTTCATATTATTTCGTATCTTTTTCAAGAGGTTCTTTTTCCTCTGCTACAATTTTCTCATCTTCAATTTCATAATATTTGGGATCTACAGGTTTAACCATGTAGTGTGACAAGGCCGCAACAGTCATCAGACCAGATATGGCATAGAAAGAAGTGTTATACATAAAAGGCGTCGGATCCTGGATGTGCGAAGGTACGATTTCCATCAGTTTGTTTATTGTCATTGTCTTCGCTTGAATCAGTTCATCAGCTTGAGATATATCCACACCGAATTTCTGTTTGAATGCTTCGGGATTCACGTTGTCCAATAGCTTCATAATGGCCGCTTTCTCTCCCAGTCCTCGTAAGTACAGAATCATTGACGGACCCGTAATAGCTGCAGCACTGCTAGCTAGTAGCATTCGACCATGGTTAGCACCCACATACTTAGCTCCGAACAGATCAGCTTCATAAGCTGGCAAAATCGCATACACGCCACCCATAAATGAAACCGCAATCGACGTCGTGCCACAGAATACAGCAAGTGGTAATACCGATTTGGTTTCCGCGATTTGAGACACAATTAGAGGGAAGCTCAGATAGAGTCCCAGAGATCCGAACGTAAACATATGGAACACTTTGCGCCTTCCGAGATAGTCGGAAAGAACACCCCAACCTATCCTGCCGCCGAGATTTCCGACTGATAACATTAGAATATAACTGGATGCGAAGCTAGCTGTGACTATATCCGGCAAAAGCCCCCCAAAAGTGTCGGCCATTAGTGGTTTACAAACACTGAGCAGCCCCATTCCTCCAGAGGCCACGCAAAGAAGCGTCGCAGCCAGGCTATAGAACTGAGGTGTGCGCATCACAACATCGACATGTACATTTCTCTCTATTTGTGCACTAGCAGTATTCGTCGTAGCAGCTAAGGCGTTCTGAGACATTGACTCAGTGTATTTCGGATGAGGTGTTCTGATCATTGCGGCTGCAGTCAGCATAGCCGTGCTATAGACACCTCCGATCACCATCATCGTAGCCGTGGTTCCGGTAGATCCTGAGCCAACTAAGTAATATCCCTCCGATAGACCTTTATGCGATAGCTTTGCTAAATCAGCAGCGTTTGCGTAGACAACTTCAGCTAGAGACCCGTCCGTCAACGAGGTGAACATTTTACCATCTTTTAAAGTATAGTCCAATGTCTGCCCGAGATATGTTGGCATTCTAGCAAATTTATTAATCAGATAGTTAACGCTAGGAACAAAAAGGAGCGAACCTGATCCGAAACCCATGATTGTCAGACCAGAAGCAACTCCTTTCCTGTCCGGGAACCAACCCATCAACGCCTGAATCGGTGGCGTGTATGCTAAGCCAAGTCCAGTTCCACTTAGCACACCAAAACCAAGATAGATCAGAGGCAAGGAGTGAAGATATGATCCCAAACCAGTCAAGGCAAAACCTCCTCCGAAGCACATGCCAGATAAACCCATAGCAACCCTGGGTCCTACTTTCATCTGCCATTTACCTAGGAGAGCGGCCGATAGTCCGTGCAGGAAAAACACCACAGACATCGGTAGGGATACCTGGGCAAGTGTCCAGTCATTTGCGGCACTGCATACAAAACCATATTCCTTCGACAGATGTCCAGCAACTGCCGACCAGCCGTAAGGTGCTCCTATGCACAGATGTGCCAGGAAAGGCGGCACAGCCATGAACCACCTTGCTTTAAAGTTCTCATTTGCGACCACTGATTTGGGCCCTAGGTATTTGTCGAAAAAAGAGAGTTGCTCTGGAACTAGATCAGCCGATGATTTGACATTGGAATGATTCTGCGATAGATGGTGCTTCTGTACTAAATTTAACTGTGATACAGAGTATTTCCAAGAAGAACTGAATTTGATCGCATTGCATGTTGCACGCAGTGGAACATTGTGCAGATGCATAACTTCTTAAACAGGAAATCATCAATGAGCAGCAATGAACGACAATCAGAGCAAAATCGTAGAAAAATTCTTCGCAGTTGTCGCATTGAAGGGGAAACTCAATTGTTTGAATCTTAGAGGATCATGTTAACCTACGGTACATTATATACCCTACGGTACATTATATAGTAAGAATTGACACCCTCTAAAGAACGAATTCAATGGCTAATCTTATGTGAATTAAGTTACTTGTAACAAATTTGCCCCCTTTTGCAATAAGTGGGATTAGATACCAAGAAATATACCATAAAATAGTTTTGAAATTGTTGAAATTTTTAGCCGTTCAAATCGATCTTCTCAGCTCTCTAAAACGCTCGAAACAATTTCGGAGAAAAATTATGCACCAGGATTAAGTATCTGAAAAATGTCAGTTTAAAGCAATGTCTAAAATATTTTTACTAAAACACTGCATTTTTTACAGAGAACCCTCTTAAATTTACCAGTTACAGCAACCGAAAACACTGACAATTTAAGGGTACAGTGAGAAAGACGAATTGGTAACGAGGAAGGGAGCTTTACATTACTTGCTTCGTCACGGTCAACACTGACTATGAGAAATGATTAAAAGATAAGACTAAAACATTTGAATTGACATCATTTTGTAACAGATTAGAATCTAAATTTATGATAGAAATGCGACGGTAAATTAACACTTGCATATCTTTGGCCACTGAGTGAGTGAATGAATAGAATACATCACCCGTAATTCGACCACTCGCAACAAAACTACTGGTAATAAAAAATAACATGGTGATATCTGATCTGTCCTACGGCCGTGTCAAAGTGGGTTTATTGTTTAATCGGTAGTAAATCTTTCACGAAAAGGACAGTTAATTCGATAAACAATAGAAAAATTCTTTCCAGCCAATTTATCTTTTGGGCGAGCTTTCGAATTCAGAGAGTAATTCCAGTTGTCTTTGTTGCGATTTGCCGCGGTAGCTACATCAGCAACATTGTCAGCCTTATGAAAAACGATAAAAACGAAAAGCCTCGTGGTCCTTAAAAACATTTAATTTAATTAAAAAGATATTTCGAAAAATAACTGTCACAGAATTTAAAACTGGAACCACAAAAACATCAGTTTTAAATGATTGAAAGAGGATTTGTTTTTATCTTGTTTATTGAAAGAGAGACTTCGCACAGTAAGAAAAATTTCTTCAGCGAAAAAAAAAAATGTTTTTTTTTAGTTTAAAATCTAAAAAAATTTGAATTTTTGCACATTCTCTTAGCAATCTTTCTGTGATTGACGCATCTTGCATGAATGAAACACAAAGATGAAGACGAGAGGGCAAAATTAAGCTTTAGCACTTCAGTGGTAAATTTCAGAAGTTTTCTTTCGTCAGAACACTGACCCAAATTTTTTGATATCACGCTAAATCAGATACCACAAACAATCATCAGAATGGGTTCAAAGATACATCATACTACAGCCCTTTCAGTCGTGTTTTGAACGACTTAAAAACGGTTAGAAATTCTTCCTATTAGTCTAATTTCGGATAGCTAGAAATTCTTCCTTTTAGTCTAATTTCGAATGAGTAAAGCGAGCGAATAGGCCTTTATAATAGGACAAAGAGCTTTTACTAGAGCTTTTAGGACAACAAGTTTTTACTATTTCAAGTAGCCCTTTCTTGGCAAAAAAGTTGTTCACATTCCAAAAAAAGTTTTTGAAGACAACTGTAGTCAATTATTCCTAATATACTAATGATCTAAGCTTTCATATAGCTCCTTCTGTCACACTACGCTTAGAATCGACAAACTGAAAAATTTGGAACCAAAAATCCTAATTAGGTTTCGAAATCATCGAGTCAAAACTCGACATCACAGTGACTCCAGTTAAAAATTGGAGGATTCAACTTTTTTTTTTTCATTTTAAGCAAATGCCTTTCACGGAAATTGCGAAAAAAAATTCTTGAGATTTACTTTACTCTCTTTGCGCAATCTGAAAATTTTGATACCGTCTTCTGATAGCGAAAACGCTCTACTGGCTTTCAAAATACAAAAGCATTTATATCCTTATACACTCAAAAACTGAAATCTTAAAAGAAATCTTTTCAACTTTTACCATTGCAGTTGCACAATTAAAATTTGAAAAATCGATTAAGCCACTCGATTCATTAGTTGTTTGTCAAATTGATACATTGAAAGATGCTGGATTTTCTCAAATGAAATTAAAGAAACACTTAACTTGGAATCTAATTACACTACCATCATAATAATCATTTCTGGTGGAAAAACTAACCTAAAAATTAAACATATCCTCTTTTCTGACAGGATGTTGTTTGCATCGAGGAAACCAGGATTTGATTGAATAGTGGCATAGTGAAAAATTTCCGAGACAAAAAACGAGATTTGCGGAGAAAATACACTACGTGAGTGCGGTCGAACAATCGCGTAAATTTCGGGGTGAAATCAAAAATGATCAAAAATTTCTTATTAAAATGCCCAAATAAAATTTCTCATTAAATTGCCCAAACAGAATTGTGAAATCGTATCGAGCCAAAAAAAAAAAGTAATTCTAACTTGTAGAGATAGATGGTAAGACGCCTCTCATTTGGTAAAACTCAAATGGGAGAATTGTCAGTTACTAAAATGCAAAATTTATTTGAAAAAAAAATTTTAAATGTTTTTTTTTTAAAAAATCGTTTCAGAACTTTTTAGAGTGTTTCTAGCTTTTGGAACCAGAGTGTAGGCGCCACAATACATAAGTCTTTTTCCTCGTTAAATTAACTTTGTAAGCCTTTCTTTGAAGGTTTATTAGTGAAATGAGGCGAAAAAATTGCTGACGTGCAATCCAAATTTTTTATATCCTGCTTTTAACATCGAAACTGATTTATCTAAAACGCCGAAAGGTGAGGAAGCAAGCGAAGTTGTTGTCTCATTGATATGCCAGAAAACAGGAAAAAACAGCGCTTAGAAGCATGATTATGATTCGGTGTGGATTTTGTGTTGTACTGTAACAGAAAATATGCATTATGCAAAATGAATTCAGCTAGGCACAGCATCATTTGTAGAGGCGGTATTTAAGTCATAGATAAGTGAAGTAAAAGAAAACGCATTGATAGATCAAATCAGTATCTAAATGGAATGTGGAAATAGAATCAAGTAACTCTGCGCATGACATGAACGTCATCAATTTGCAATTCAATGGCGGGAATATTTCGGTCATGATCCTTGCTTACAATATATCTCTTTAACAATGTCTACTTCCCAAAGTTGAATTAAGTACAAGTTCCAAAATTTTGGTTTACGCTCTAACTTTGATGGCTGATTTTTTCCTTAATAAGGGGAGATGACTTATTACAATGTACCTCTGGACGAGAGAATGGTTAAAGAGATCCTTAGCAATAAACATTTCATCCTAATGAACATTTTTCATGTTTCTATTAATAGACAAATAATCTCTTTCATTTCATGTATATAATTCAGAATCAGGTTAATCAATTAATTACAATAGGTTAACTGTTATGTTAACTGCTACACATTATCTTCACTTGACATCAAAAGCGGATTCACGTAATCAAAGCCCTCGAATTCCGATTGATCAATAGTGTCTGTATTTCCAGCCGCAGTGTCGGGCGTGAATTGCACGGGCTCGTCTGTAAACTGGGGATCGAAATTGTTCAAATCGTGCTCATCTTCTAAGGTGGGTTTAAACGGGGGTTCAATTTGCTTTCTCTCTAACTTTTCCCAGTCTACCGTTCGGAAAAAGGGATGGTTCTGAATATGAGTGTAACCTTCAGCAGGGTCGCATCCCAACCTGTCAGCTGGGTTTTTGTTCAAAAAGCCTTTCAAAACTGCGGACGCTTTCGGAGATAGCGAGCGAGGAATCCTGATAGGTTTTTCCAGAATAATCTGAAACAGGTACTCTTCTGTGTTCTGCACATTATCAACATTTAGTAGGTCGAAAGGCGAGCGGCCTGCCAGCATTTCGTACGTGAGCACACCAAGTGCCCACCAGTCGACCGAGAACCCGTACTCAGCGCCTGTCAGCAGCTCAGGTGCGATGTAGTTCGGGGTTCCGCAGAAGGTCCCTGTGGTGTCGTAATAGCCCATGTTTTCTTTGCACATTCCATAATCTGTTAGTTTCACATGCCCCTCATCATCTAAAAATTACATAAAACAATTAATATTGATGTATTTCATCCAATTGAATAAGTTATATTTGTAATGATTAAAACTTTTGAAAACACGAAGACCAAAAATTCTCAAATGAGTAAAAATGAGGAAGCTGAAATAAAAAATGAACTTCTGAACTTTTAAGTCCCAGTAAGGCTTCGAACAATTGAACTGACCTAGCAACACGTTGTCCAGTTTTAAATCTCTGTAAATAATGCCCTTGTCATGCAAGTAGTGCAGAGCACTGCAAATCTCTGCGGCGTAGAACCTTCCGTGCTCTTCGGGCAGTTTTTTCTGTCTCTGCATGTGGTACATCAGGTCTCCTCCAGAGACGAATTCGATCACAAAGATGAGTCGACTGGGGGTCTGAAAGCAGGAGTGAAGGCCGACTAGAAAGGGGTGATTGGTGGCTATCTCGAACACATTTTTCTCAGTCTGCACACAATCGATGTCTTCGTCATCATGTATCGACTCTTTTTTGATCACCTTCATGGCATACTTCTTGCCTGTTTTCTTGTATTCGGCTAACAAAACCTGAAATAATGCACTCTTCTATATATCAAAACATCATTTGCATCACCCGTAGCAAACATACTAGAACAATTATAGCGTCAGGTATTCTTCACCCGATTATAAGAACCTCAGGGTAAAAATTCAGTGTCGAGAAAAACTGGTCTACAATTAGGGAAAAGCGGAGGCAATTTACTCATCCTTCATTTACACGACAAGCTAGATTAACTTATTTTTCAAGGTGCACATGATTTTTATTCACTAAAGAATAAACAAAATCGAAAAATAGCCAAAAGACAGTTGGAAAAAAGTCAATGAACGCAACTAAACAGAAAAAAAAATACTGACTCGTTTTTTTTGGGAAAAATTTCAATTTGCGAATTTCAAAGGAAAAAAAAGGTGCCCATAAAGCTCTTTGAATTCCTAGAACAATTTATGTTTGGCAATTGTTTTGGTACAACAAACTCTATTTGAGATAATTGGATCAATAAGCATCAATGTTAAGTTGGCTAGGAACACTCGAAATTAATTAAATTTCATTTTCGAAACTAGAATTTGATCACGTTTTTCGTGAAACTTACCTTTTTACTGTAAATAAAGGAGTTTGCCTTCCTTTAACAAAGGAAATGATCAAAGGAAATGAAATGAACTAAAAACGAAAGATTGAGACTGAACAAATTTTCCTGAAAAAAAAACCAAAAAATTATCGCGACTTATATAAGAGCCTGAACTACATTCATCGACTCTTGAAAATAGCCTGAGAAATTTTTATTTACAAACCTACGACCTTATTATGCACTTTTTTGCGGTTGAGATTTGGGCAACCGAAATTGAGCTTGAAAACATCAGACTTTAAGAACAACATGTAGCCAAAATGAACACCTTATGGTCGCCATTTTTCCCGAAAACATCACGAAACTAGTCGTACGGTTGAATTTGTTTTCACAGAATTCTAGGAAACTCATGGAAAGCACGTAGAGTTTCAAATGTGATATCAAATTAAAACCCGATTGGGAGTGATTCAGATAGCTTAACAATTTGTCTCAAATAACTTGGAAAAAATTGTCTTGAGTATCTAGAAACAACAAACAGAAAGTTAGAGAACTGTAAATGAACTCAAGGAGACTGAAAAAATATATTTTTTTAAATTTAACTTTCGATTATCCAAGAAAAAGATGTCACCTTACAGCTCTTTTAATTTCAGGAAGCTTTTATGAAGGACACTTTATTGATAAAACTACCTGGACCAATAGATATTTTTTCATTCCCATAGGAATTCTTAAAATTCGAATTCAGTTTTGTAAACGAAAATATTCACGTTTTTCAGCGCCATTTCAAAGTTCTATAACGGAAGGCTTAATTTGCCTTCCTTTAACAAATGAAATTAAACTCAACTTAACAAGAAATCAGAACTCAAGCCTCGGACAATCAAAATTGAGCGTGAATGAAATTGACTTTTTCCACCAAAAAAGATAAGAAATTTTATTAAGGTCTTCACAACACTCATTGACAATTTGAAATTGTAATATTTCGGCTTTTCAGACTAGTTTTTGCGGAAAAGAATTGAATTTACTTCCTTTTTTGTTCTCTGCAATTATTTAGGGAAAAACTAATTAACTCGGGAAAAAGAGAGACAACCTCTGAGAAAAATAACCCTTGCTGAGAAAACTGGATAAATAGATAAGTTTTATTCCGCTGTGAAATCTCAAATTAAAATCCATTCTCGACAGTAGAAGTCGACCGTTTTTCTAGACCTTCAAACGTTTGCTGCTCGATACTGGAGTTTTATTTCCTTTCAAAAACAGAAAATGAACTAAAAAAAACTAAAGTCAAACCGCAGAAAAAAAATCAAAGAGGCTTCAGTTTTATATTTGTATAACTAAGTAAGAGTTAATATTTGTTCAACTGAAGGCAGCCAGCAGGAAAAAATAGCTACAGCAAAAATTAGAAAAAAGTTTTCAGACAACTCACAAAATGACGTCCGAAATTTTGACTTATCTCATGAGCGAAGGAACGAATTTTTGAAAATTCTCAACTAATCAGTGACCTTTAATTTGCCCAAATCTGACTGACTTTAACGCTTATTTTCTTCGAATTTATGAATAATGAATTCTGACTGGCTGAAAGTTTTTTTTATCGCGCTTGGTTCATCGAACATGGGGGGGGGGGGGGGTTTCCCCTAATTAAAGCTTCAGAATACTTAATCATTACTGGTAACTTCAACCGGTGTACGCTTTGAAAAAAAAACAGGATTTGTACATAATTTTCTTATTCTGCTGGGAATCGAAAGATTTAAATCAATTTGTTTTGCTTGTTATTTATTTCAACCCTGCACAGAAATGGTTGTAAATTTTTTACATCTTTCAAACATTTGGTAGGGGAGCTTAAAAATCTAATTTGTCAACCTAAAAACGACGAAAAATTTGTTTTTGAACCCTCTCTTATCATTTGAACACAATATTTTTCACTAGAGGCGGAATATGAGACAAATTACATGTTCAGGAGAACGACATTCCACTTGATTTTACCTTGGCGAAGCTTCCACGTCCGATAACTTTCAGAAGGTTGAAGTCGGCAAGAGAGATGACGAACGTATGCGGGGTAGCTTTGTGGTCGGATGCGGATGTTGCTGTCGGAACGCCTCGGGGATTAATTTTGTTCACGTCGGATGACAGCGAGTGGTGATGATTACGAGGTTGTTGTTTCTGATTTCTCGACCCTGGGGAACCCGCGGTATCTTGACGATGATCAGCTTGGTTCTGGGCTTTTTTCGAGGGCGAGGATGCATTTGAATTCTGATTTGATGAGTGGTGTGAATGCGATACTGTGTGTGGATATGAGGACTGGTGGTTGTTATTGTTGTTTTGCTGTCTGTTTGAAGTTCTGGCCATGGAGTTGTTGTACAGAGCGGCATCCAGCTCAGCTCTGTCTTCAGTTTCCCTCTTTTGAGTAGGAAGTGACCTGAAATGACACTTGATGAATTCTTATCCGGGGAAAAAAGATGAATCGCTGTTCAAAGTCACAAAATTTCACATCTACTTTAGAGTCAAGTTCAATAAAGCATTTTAGTTACGCCGCAAATAAAAATCCCAAAAAAAGTTCATGCAAAGGAAAACAAATGAACCTTCAGCAATCAATATTTCTGGAAGTTGATCATTTTGGCGTTTAGGATTAGGCAAATTAGTCAGCATAATGGAGCATCATTTCATTTAGCCAACATTTTTTCGTGTTACTTAGATAATCAGTCACAATTATCAGACCAGAAAACGGGTGAACAGGGGCGTATTTAGAGGGAGGGGCGCATAGGGGCTCGGACGCTCCCCCACCTCTCAGAGATTCGACCCCCTCACCAACCAAAGGGTCCCCCTTTTGGTATTATTTTATGACATCCATTTTCGGCGACCAACCCTTAAGGGAGGCGCGCGCCGTTGGTCACAAAATTTCCAAATACTACATTTTGACCTGTTTTTCAAAAAAAATTGACTTGTTCTAGGAGCGCTCGGAAAATCAGTTCAGTCGGCTTTTAATAATTGTCGATAAAAGTTTCGCAAATCCCCCTTCTATAATCTGTTTCTCAGTCTGTCGAGACCTTATAGTCTGTCGAGACCCCCATCCACCTTTGTAGCCCCTTATAATCTGTTTCTCACACGAAGTCATATAAAATATAGCGCATGTATTTTCTGCTGATAAATTGATATTAGCTTCGCTATCAAAATGCTAATTCTTCTATCATATGATGATTATTATTTTATCAATTCTATTTTATCAATTCTTTATGATGTGAATAATTAACGTATTGTAATAATGGTGACCTTGTGATTGTGTCGTATGACTCGCCGCAGACGAAGGAGACCCGTTTGTGACACTTCTTATGCACCATGATTTTGCACTCCACGCAGCGGAAGCCCTGTCTGCCCAGACCCCAGATGACGTCACGGCAGATGAAACAGAGAGCTCTCTTTCCGAATCGCTTGGCGGCGAACGAGTGCCCGTTAATCTTGTAGAGGCGCCGCCATCGTCGCGCACCTCGCCTGTAGATGTCCTTCACTTCACCTTCACAAGGCTCGCCTGGTCTAGAAAGGAAAACATTATCCTTAAATTAAAAAATAAATGCACTGCACAATCGCACTTGATGCGACTCTAGAGTGAAATCGGTTTTAAAAAAAATGGCCCTTTTATTGTAGTACAAGAAGGTATATCATAACAGATTTCTCCCACTTAAAGTTGCATTAAAATCGAATGTTAAGGTTAAAGTGAAGAGCAATTTCTCCTTTTACAATAGGAGAAAAATCTCCTTCAGGAAATTGAAACTTGAAGCCATCATTTAGTCAAAGCGCCAGGACTGATGATTTTTTGACGGTTTCAAAGAGCATCGAGCAGCTCTAGCAAGCCAGGTCTTAACTGAGTCTGAAGTTACCATCTTTCACATCAAAAGAGAGTAGTTTTTAGTGCATGGTGTGATTAGTGAACTATACAAACGCGTCGAAACTTGGTGAATTAGTCAATATTTGTCTTCAAAAAAGTGTATGACAAAAAAAAACGAAACCATTTAAAATTTCATACGGAGGCGAAGCTTCGCTTCGCAAATACTAGCGAGAGCACGACAAAAAACAGCTCTTTAAAGAAACAAAATGAGAAATAAGCCTCGAAATAATAAAAACTCAGCTACGTCACGGATTCGATCTGCGACCTATGGCGCCGTAGAGAATAGGAGTCTCATGCACAAACCACTCAGCCATGGACGCTTAATAAATTAGAAACAATAGCTACAAATAAAGCAGAGAACAGATGCTACAGATTTAGATTATAGGAAAAGGGCCTCAAAATCATTGAACACTTTTATTTGCGACTTACGTTAGAAAAACAAGGTGCGTACTAATGCACTAAGCTGTCCGAAACTGCAATAACGAAGGAAACTCGATCTCTTTACTAGCTCGAAATTGAGCTAAACCATAAAAAATGTACACCAGTTTTTCTGGACACTTGAAAAATTTTGACGGTCGTTCGAATCACAATTGAAAGGGCTTTAATATGATATACTACTTGACCCATTCTGATGATTTTTTTTGTGTCACAAAAAAGAGGCAGCAATTGTTGTTGCATTTAAATGTTGTTGAAATTTGTTCAAGGAAAACATCATTGACAAAAAAAGAACTTCACTTACTTGTTTGGCTTGGAGGCGAATACGTATAATTTGATTTCGTTATCCTTGTTTTCATGATACTGTCTGATGGCCTCTCTCAGCTCCCACTCGCTCTCTAGCGTGCAGGGATCCCCATCCTCGTCCACCCACTTGATGGTACAGGCACTGGAAGTGTCCTTGTTCCCAGCTATCAGCATAAAAACAACTGATGCAATAAACCACATTTAAGGTATCCAGATGAGTTTTTGAAACTATCTACAACAATTATTACTATGCTTTGCGATTACGGTTCTGGTAAATTTTTCTAGGGGAGATTTGAGTGTCACGACAATTCATTTTCAGGGGTGCCAAAAAATCAAATTTACAGAAATAATTTGCATTCAGAGTTGAAGCTTAGAATTTGCAGGTCGATATAGCTGACTCGAAACACCTAAGATTATAATTTCTCTGTACGACTAGATTTTATCACCGGGGTGGGACCATTTTATAAACAAGCCCCTCAACCATGCAATGGAACACTCCGTTTCCGGAAAAGGTAATCACGCCACCCACGCTAATTAATTTGCCAGTCGCGATCATTGAGCACAACGGGAGTAACAAGTATGTGACTCCCGCATTTAATTAGGAGCGCATATCCAATCACTTCAAACAGAAAAATTTCTTGAATCAAATTTTTTCTCAAATTGAATAGAATCAGCTGAGTGAGGGATTGGCCAAAAAAATCGGCATCTGAGGCCATGGTTAGGTATATATTGAAATTATCAATGTACTCACAGAGTAATGAGTTGCGCACATTCGCTTTGCCATTCTGTCCTGATGTCGCATCGGTCGAGGATGGCGAAGAAGCAGACGAGGACTCGGATATGTTATTACTCTGAATTCCACAAATAGACTGAATATGATCTACCAGTTCCTCGATCGAATAGTTGTACTCTATTGAGGAAATGTACACGTTGCCATTGAATGCTGCCTTAATCCGGATCGAGTTTGCTCCTGAAGCTGCCATTGCCATGGCGCTGAACTGATTAGTCAACAGTTCCTGCTGACTCACAGACGCGTGATTTAGCGAGTTTGTATTAGTGTTATTCATAACGTTACTACTACTTGAGTTCATTTGATTTTGAACCAGAGATGGTTGGTCAGTAGAATATGATGATGAAGTGGTAGAGGATGAACGCACTGCAACGTTGTCCCCTCCGCCAACTCCAACCGGGTTATAAATCCTCCCTTGGATTCCCCCAGATTGGGGGTTGTAATGAGGCACTGCTGAATTTCGCCCACTTACAACAACACTGCTGTCCATTGCGGACATAAGATAATAAAATAGACAAGCAAAGCTCAAAATTAATCTAAAACAAATGCAAAACTAAAGCTCAAATTATAAACCTTTTCGTTTTTATTAAAAAAAAAGACTGATCATTTTTTAAACTTTCATTCGTTTTAAGGAAATGAATGTTATTTGGAAACATATCCAAACAATAACATGTTCTCTTGGCTAAATATTCGACTATAAAAATCAACGCGTAAAATGCGGCATCAGAAGCGTTTTAATAATCAATTCAAAAACTTTAGGGAGCTACAAGAACGCTCGCGCAAGTATTTTTCTTTAAGCAATATGAGTCGTTATGGTGACGCAATATGAGTGGTGACTTAAAAAAACTTCGCTCGGTGAGAAGAGATTGGGTTTGAATACATCTGTTTTTCAGACCAATTTATTACGGGGAGCGGATAAGAAAAACAGAGTGGACCCCATTACCACTTAACTTAGCCCATTCTGTGAGAACTAAGTCGGCAAAAAAAGCAGACAGACAAGCATGCAAGTCGGCAAAAAAAGCGGTTGTCCCACGTTTCGCCCCCTCTTAAATCTAGTGCCACATTTCGCCCCTCACACATTTCGCCCCTGATATTTTCACACATTTCGTCCTCGCACGTTTCGCCCCTAACTTATAACACAGTTAATTAACCGCCGCTTTCTAAATGTACATTTTAGGGGCGAAATGTGCCAGTAATTTATGAGGGGCGAAACGTGTGATGGGCGAACTTTGTGAATACCAAAAAAGCAGACGGACAAGCAACTTAAAATAAACAGACGGACGTCGTCCCAAAAACTCTAGTTTGCAAAAATCAGCTCACGACCGGATTCGAACCACAAACTTTTAACGTCTCAAGCAGTTGTGTAACCTCTACGCCAGATGGTTGATTGACTTTGAATTTATAAGAAGGCAAGAGGATGAATGAGTCCAGGGTTCAGGAGATGAGTCCTATGAAGAAAGTTATTTACGGGGAAGTGCCTCTTACCCGATTGCAATACCCTTGCTTATAGCAAGGGTACCGTATTATTGCTCCGACTTTCGATACGAAAGTAACGGAATATGTGCTCGGGGTGGTTTTTTTTTTCTTCAGACAAATTTCGACTTTTTAACTAGCCATTTTTGACGGAAATTTTTTTATATCATTCGAAAGGTATTGTTGTCCTGAGCTCAAATTTGAAAAGAAATTTCACCTGTGATCATTTTTCGTAAAGTTATGAGGGTTTAAATATTGCCTTTTTGACCAATTTGGAACAATTAGCGCGCGATATATTTTGCGCTATTAACGCGTAAGCGGAGATTTAATCCGTCTTATAAATCGTTCCAAATTGGTTGAACGAAGCTTATTTGCCATAATTGATGTGTTACAAGGAACGAAAACTATCTTTTTGTACTTTATATGGCGTGTGGGGGGATGATTTTCATAAAAAATTTCAAAATTTAGAAGAAAAAAAATTTCATTTTTTTTATTTCATATAATGTTTTTATGTTATTACTACTGCTCCATAAACCTTGAAAAGCAGTCGGAACATTCAGGGCTTCGCCCTGATACGAGCAGTCTTGTTGAATTCTAAATTCTATCTGCGCTACCGAATAAATAGCCCGAAAAAAAATCAAACTTTCGATAAGAAATCCTGATAAGTATGTTGGAACATTCGGTGCAACATGAGCAAGTTCGCCGGTACAAAAAATGAAAGCTTCGCTACGTCAAGTCGTAAAACCGCAAGCCGTCACTTTTTTTTTGCTTCAGACACGTTTCACTCGATAATAGTTCAAATCATAAATTTTATTACTTTCAATATACATCTAATGGATCTTTGTCCAATTCAGAAATGAGCAGTTCGCAATTAGGCAGCAGCTTAATATTTTCAACAGTGCTTTTGAACTCTGTTAGAAATTTCCTCTCACTATTACTATGCTCCGTCAAAATCACAGATGTGCCGTTGAATTTTGCATCGAGAACTTCGTGGTGTGACATTTCTCCAGTAACAACCAAATCAACTGTGCCAAAAACATCGCGCAGCACGCTGCCACCGGATCCAGCGCACACTGCTATACTGGTCACCACTGACTCAGAGCTTCTTTTGTCTCCCGGAGAGTATCGCACATATCTCAAGTCGAGAAAATGTTTGATATTTGCGATGATATCTGTTTCACGGAGTTTGCTAGCGGAAAGTTCAAGTTTCAGGCCGCATCCAAACGCATGTGAAAATTTAACACCGAAATCTTTCACAGAAGATGGTTTCATTGGCAGATCTTTTGCAATGTTGTAATTTGATAACACTTCAACGCTATCTTGTTCGGGTCCATTCCGAGCCATCGCAAACTCATCCCCGGTAGTTTTGGAAATAGTTTCGTATAACGTCGGAAGATTCTGGTTGAAGCTCTCACCAACAAACGTGTTCACGTATAGCATTCCTTTGGCTTCGAAACTAGGTGGATATAATGAAGCTAATGATGGTAACAATTCCCCAATTTTCATCTCTGGTTTACCTAGAGAGCTCTTGATTATGTTAAGATTATTCATCCACGAAACAGCATCCCATGATGTATGCGGTGAATATACAGAGATATCACTTTGAATGCAGTCTAATATCAGACGTTCCTTCCAATTAGATCGCCTGAGTTTTGTGATCGGTTTAAAAATAAACGGATGATAGGAAACAATCAACTGACAACAGTTTTGTACAGCCTCGTTCAGGACATCTGCAGTGAGGTCATTCGTCAGCAACACTCGATCAACTGGCTTTTCAGCACTACTTTCAACCAGCATGCCCACATTATCCCACTTTTCACAAAACTGCAACGGTGCCAGTAATCTGAGTCGTTTCACCACATCGCTAAGTAACATGCTCTGAAATTAAGTTTCCGACTAATTAACACATATTACACCATAGCGGAGCATTATTTGCGATACACAACATACATAGCATGGCAAATAGCCCAAACAAAACGAGACCAAAGTCAATCGTTCAACAAAAATGAGAAACCAATGAAAATCAACCAATATTTTCATGTATATGTCTCAAATTAAAAACATACCGAGAAAGCCAAATAGCAACAATAAAAGACATTGAAAGACCTTTATAAAGCGGTAACTATGTCAACAAATTTAAAAACTTGTTAAACTAAAGAAAACAAAGAGTGATAAAAAAGCTAGAAAAAAATCTTTGGACTATTTTTTTAGTCCTCACCCGATAGCTCCGCTTTTGTTGGCAACCTAGCATCGAAGTATGCATTGACGCAGAACAATTCAAATTTTCGAGGAATTGATCATCTCTGAGGCGTATTGACGTGCTCCTATTTAGAAGAAATTGTTGTCATCAATTATCCCGCAAATGATTACAGATCATATCAGAAAATAACAAAAAAGTGACACAAGAAATGAACTCTTCAAAATACCGGATAAAAGCTACTGGACCCATTTACCAGAGGACATCACAGCAACAGATCTGATGACGCTCGTCGCCCAAAATTGAAGATAAGTACGAACAGCACTTGAAAAACGCAAGCAAAAGCACAGTATACAAATCGACAGTAGCCATGATGACATCCTTGACAACATTCCAGTAAAATAAAACCACCTCCACAACAAGCAATACGAAGGCAGTCCCCGTTAAAACTTTCGAAAACCACGTACACTAACAATGCGCTTCATGGCATGGCACAGTGAGCGGAAAAAAAAACAATATTCAGCCCTTCTGGCATAAACAATCCGAAGAATACCTTTAGAGTGGTCCAAATGGTTCATAGAACTGAAAACGGCCATTTGCGCGATCAAAAACATTGACTTACACGAGTTAAATTGTTTTGAGGAACAAACCACCACTGATGGAATAACGGTATAAAATTGCTGTAGGACCAAAGTCACAAAGAGAAAGCAGCAAGGAACTGAGCTTGCTATAACAGGAGCTACATAGAACCATTGGGCTTAATTATAACTCTGATCGAATTGGGCGGATACGGAGCAAAGACGGCTCCGTTTGTCATCGTAGTCTACATAAAACACCCAAAAATAACTACTAAATGGAAATCAAAAGACCTCGTGGTCAAAACCAGGTTCGTCGAAAATTTCAAAGAAGTACAACACACACACAGTCGGCACATTCATTTTCACCTTCAAAAAACGCAAAAGGAGGCATCTTCTACTCAACGATAGAATAAATTATGGATGATAGAACTTGAGAACATTGCAATTGCAACCTAGTTGTTGAAAAGGCCACAGCGATATATGAATTTTTAACTGAATCCCATGTTCTGAAAAGTTTGCAGCGAAATCTCATAAGGCATAGGACCCCACGCAAGCAAAAAATAAGAAAAAATTGGCCTAGAAAACACATCACTCAAAAATATCAAAAGCACTGGAAAAAATTAACAGCAAAATTTTAGGATCATCTTCAAACACAGTCGAAATAAAAAAAATGAAAAAAGCTGAAAAAACTAGATCTACATAATTTCGATAGAAAATCATTCTCGATAGAATTTCATTTCAGATTGTCGGCTTCGTTGCAACATGCCGGATGTTTCTTGTGCTGTAAGCAACTTTTATTTTAGTTGCAAGTGTTGTCCATTGTAGTTTTTGGCGGGACTTGAAAATTAAATATATTAAATATATTCTTGTACTGTAAGCAACTAAAATAAAAGTTGCTTACAGCACAAGAAACATCCGGCATGTTGTCACGAAGACGACAATCTGAAAGCAGCCGAAAATAAAAAGAATTATTTCAAACTAAAACTTTCAAGTCCCCTGAAACTACATTCTACAAGGCATGCCTTGCAACTTCAATAAAAGCTACTTACAGAACAAAAAATATTCCGATAAAAGGTCACCAAGTCAACCAATGAGCAGACACCAGTTGAGCCGAAAAAAATAATTCAACGAAAAAAATTTAGAAATTTTCAAGTCGCCCAGAAACTACATTGTAACACACTCGCACTTGTAACTACAATGCTGGTCGCTTATAGCACAAGCAAGATCCGTGATGTGGCAACTAAGCCGACAAACTTGAGCAGACTAACGAAGATCCGACTATTCAAATTTACCGGAAAAAAAATTCTTACTGAAAATCAACAGAGGTCCGGCAGGGAGCCGAACTACTGACCTAAAGGCGCAAAGGCGACGGCATTACCTCGAGTTCAATTGGGAACGCACCTGGAAAATTTTAAGCTTCAAAAACTAAGCAAGTAAGAAACGGAAGTAAGATTTGTAAGAACAGTTGTTTACAGAAAAAAGTCTAGTTCCCGATTACAAGATAATTGCTTTCGCATGAGTAATAAGAGAAAACTTTGTAGCAGAAAACTTGGAATGAGCGTGATTCTATGCGAAGAAAAATTTTTAACTCGAGGAAAACCATAATAGAAAATAGGACAACCAAAATCCGGAACTTCGATCAAATCCTAGATACCTTCGTAGTAAGCGACGAATCTACAGTGGGATTCGATGTCTCTCTCAAAAGATACTCCATCGAAGGTTGAGCCCTATTTTTCCATGTTTCCAGATTCCTTGAAACACAAGAGGAAGAACATTCATCAAACGAACTCGAACTCGTGGTACTTATTTGGTCGGTAGAACACCTCAAATACTAACTTTAAGACAAATCAATTGAAACCGTCACCACTCAACACGCTCTTAAAGTGCCCTAAACGCAAGCGAAAAATAAAAAACAATACAATCAAATCAAGGCCTGACAAAGAAGATGGGCTGAAAATTACCAGTTAATATCAAAATCAAACCTTTGACCGGGAGCAAATTGGGTTATTGACTCTAGTCAAGAAATCCAATTCGCCCAGCGCTGCCTGTGTGTAATTGATGAGATATTTACTACTAGCCAATACGGATCGAGCTAAGTGTTAACTGATCAAAAAGCGGTAAAGCAGCGTAATTAAACGGGCACTATTCTAATGCACATTCAATTCAAAAAAGTCTTCAAAGTTGACAAACAAAAACAGATTGAAACTAGAAAAAAAATCAGCAACAACAGAGTCAATCAACGCAAAAAAATGACATCAGCTTATGAATTTCAAGCAAAAAAGATATCGTTATTTTAAGCAAAAATATATCGTCAAAAACTTTTGCTTGAAACATATTTCAAGCAAAACTCTTTGAATTTCCAATATACTTTAAAATTGGCACTTTTCAGATGAATTTTAGACAATTTGAGAAAATTTCAGCTTTCACACACAGGCAAAATGTAGCTTCGCATTACTTGCGATACAACGCAAACGAAGCATTGCCAGCTAGCGAATAGAAAATGAGACAGAAATCACAAAATCGGCTACGCAAAAAAGAGACAAAATAAAGAGACAAGTTGAAGAAATTACTTGAAAAAATAAATTAAAATCAAAAAAATAACATCAAAGAAAACTTCATCTTTGGAACGGATGATGTTCATCAACAGCCTTTAAAAAATTGGACCAAAACCTGATGAGCCAAAAGAAAACTGTAGTCATGAAAAATTTTATAAATTTTAAAATTTCGTGACACAGCCAAACTGAAACACATAATCGCATACGGATATATTTTGCCTTTCAAAAGACGCAACATAAGTGGACTAAGTCGATATAATATAAACTTAAACTACTAATTTTCAAAAAAAACAGGGAAAAAAAGAAAAAACAAAAATTTGAAAAACGGAAAATGAACCGACCCTGACGAAAACTAGGACGAAAACCCCGAACCTGAAAAAATCGAGTAAATTTTTTGATAAGATAATTGCAACCTGCAACGGGCTTCAACTAATTTATACTTAAAAGATAGTAGTTTTATTTGAATTTTCAAGAAATTCAGCATGTCAGAAGAAGAATGAGTCCAGGAGATGAATGAGTCCTGTGAACAAAATTAAAAATTTACAAGGTGGCACCTAAGCTGACCACAAGAGGGTAGAACCTCATTGATCGGAAAACAAAAAATGCCATACGAATTTGTTGTGGTGAAAAATTTTGAGCAATAAGTTTCAGAATTTTGAAATCTGGCAAAAAAAAAACTACCTGAAACTTTTATTTTGAAAAAATCACTCAACTTTTGCTTTTGATGCGACACAAAATAGGGTAACTAGGCCGATAAAAAACTCCATTTTGTTTATACGGAAAAAAAACAAGGTATTACCGGGACTCGAACCCCAGACCTTAAGGTACAAAGGCAGCAGCGTTACTTCTCGGCATAAGACCTCGAACTTGCTAAGCTTCTCTAACAAATCAGCCTCCCAATTTCTTGGAAACGTGTAGGAACAGTTGTTTACGGGAAAAAAATCAGTTCCCTATTATAAGATACTTGCTTTCGCAAGTATAAAAATTGGAGAGTGCATTTTGCCAACCTTCTAGCAAATGAATTTGAATTGAACTCATACAAGGCATATATAGCTAAGGGCATTCCTTCGCGCAATTATAATTGTGAATGCATTTCTTTTAATATTAGAGCATTTTAAGACCTACACTGAAAAAAAAATCATCACTACCTATGTATGTATGTATTTAAGGAAATTAACCCTGGGCTAGGGAGTACTCCCAGGGGCGGATCTAGGATTTTCTCGAGGGGGGGCGGAATTTCAAAAAATTTTCGAAAATTTTGTCGATCTTTTTTTTTTAGGTCGACCGAATTGATTTTTCGAGCTCTCCCTGAGCACGGTTTAGTCCCTGTTTAGGCCAAATTTTCTGCGCCGCAGGAAAAATTTTGAAAAAACAGTCCAAACAGCGTTTTTAGGCACTTTTTGGAAAATTTTGACCAAAATATCGCGTTTTTTCGGCGCGCGCTCCCCCCTAAATATTAGTATATATTGGCGCCCAAGGCGCCTTTAAAAAAATTTTAGGGTCGGTCGGCCCAAAATGGATTTCTTAAAAAGCACCAAAGGGGGG